AAACTAATTCAGATTTAATGGCTGTATTTGTATCAATGGGTTCGTCAGTATTGATATCCCTTTCTCTGTAATCACACCAAAAGACAAATCATAATTAAAATCACTTCCAAAACACGTGACAAACAAAATACTTTTTGACGATATGACTGATGACATGCTTCTGAAGTACGCCCAACCGGTCGGTCTTGAAGTGGCAGTTCTCGTGCGAGCACTCGTGATACCAAACACTCTGCCCGTCCTCCGCGTCCCGGCTGTTAGGCGTCTCCACTTTCGACTCATCGTTGATCTCATGTTTGCGTCGATGTCTTCGCATATCTGACGGCCATTTAAAGAGCTGATGACAAACGTCGCACTCATTCTTGTAATCCCTTTTGGCAGCCCTTACGGGAGCCGTTGATTTGTGGACAGACCTCTTATGCTTAAAGAGGGGCTTATTGGAGGCGAAACTGGCGTCACATTGCGTGCACTTGAAGGCCAGCTCTCGGTTATGTATTATCATATGGTTTCGGAGTTTCGCGAATCCGTGTCGAGTCATAAAACTACATTTAGTACACCTCAACGGCGCACCGGTAGTCTTACCGCCGCTTTTGGTAGACTTCCCAATATTGTTGACTTTAATGTCAGCTTTTAGTGGAGTGACTGATCCGGTGGTAATGGGATGTTGTTTGCAGTGAACTGACATAACGTGTCGATTCAAATTATGAGTGCCATAAATGGTCGAGAAGTGGCACCCGCTATAAGTGCAACTCAATGTCTTTTTCTTATTCAAGAGTGTAGTTCCCTTTTGTTGGCCACTAAACCCCGGTTTCACTGTATTTAATGACTTAATCTTATGCAACCTCTGGATGTGTTTCGTGAGATTCTTCTTCAAACTGTGTCCCGATTTTGTCACGTATTGGCAGTTAGGGTACGGACAGTGCAAACTAGAAGAACCGGTATCCGTGTCCACGCTATTGACGTGCATTTCTTTCACGTGTTCACTGATACCCAACTGTCCTCTCCTCGTAACGAACCGGCAGTCAGGGAACCGACACTTTGTTCTCTCCTTCGGCGGACTCTTTGATACACTTTTTGTGATCACTTTTGGACTACTGTTTGTCAGTCTTTGGATCTCAGCCGACGATAACTTCTTGAAGAAAATTCTCTCTTTTTAAGCGAAAATGAATACAAAATTTAGTTTAAAATGAATAAAACAAATCAAAAACAAATACAAACCCTCTGTGAAGCCGCCGGACTGGTACTCAATGGGCGGCCGTCTAATGGGCTGACTATGGGACGGCTGTACCGGCGATGGTGTGTCCGCATACTTCTGGCACTGAAAGCGCGGATAACTCTGAATACCCTTCAAAGCGTCCAATTGTTTGACCCAATCGTCCAAATCGTGGCAAATGTTGTAATACTTTTGCTTCAACTCATCGACAGTTGGTTCGCTGGCTTCGGGAACAGGTATGGCATCGCCGTCGACGGCAACCACTTCCTGGCCATCATCGACACCGGGGTCTGGAATGGTCTCAAACTCCGACACCACTTCTGGCTTATCATCGGATTCTGGTTTGAGTGGCGATTCCGGCGCCGATTCAACCGCTCGCCCGTCTTCCGGGTCTGCAATGGCATCGCTTCCGTAGCTATCGTTGCCGTCACTGACATCGACACAGTCTTCAGCCACAGAACTGGTGTCCAACCTATAGATGATGGCCTCCAAGACATCGATACACTCGATGGACAAGCCGTGGATGCGATTGAAGGCAAGCAACTGTTGGCCGCAAATCAAGTGCTTGTCTTTGAGTAATAGGTTCTGACGTTTGAGTCTTTCGATGACTTCAGACAAATGGACACAATTGTGACACTCATTGAGACAACGATTGCATGACTTCTCACTCATAATAAGCACTCAAATGAACACTAATTGCGAAACAAATCACAAAACAATGAATGACTGAAAGACCACTCTTTCAATGCATTGTTGTTGTGTTCGGTCTCTCATAGCAACCATTCATAGCAACCATACCTTCAGTCCATTCAAACAAACGGCGCTATTATTCACACTTTTCTCGCATTTCTCGCTAATTGTCGTTAAAGTGAAAGCAATTGTCGTTATTATGGGAATCAGTGGTCATCTCATTTATACACAATTAGTTCACTATTCATATATGCATTCAATTCACAATAATTCATTTTATATTATATTTATTATACTGTATCACATAAACTCCAAACAGAATATTCTGTAAAAATATTCCGATAAAAATAAATTAATAAAATATATAAGTTATAATTTATAAACATATTAATAAATTATTGTCAAATACTATTTCATGTATTCAAGTAATGCTAAATGAACACCAAATCTATTTCAAGCTCATGACCCCAATATCCGGGACCTTTTTCCTAGAATAATTTTGTCATAAAAGTTAATCTTTTAATCACTTATTATCACTGAATTTATGCTTAAAATAAGACCAAAAACTGAGAATAAGTTTAAATATAAAGTGAAGAAAGCATTGAATTATATTTAAAGCAATTCTTATGAACACAAGTTTTAGAAGTTTTTTGCATTTAATTTAGTATTGATTTAAAAATATTAAAGTTTTAAAATAGTATGAATTGTATGAAGTTTTAATCGAGTAATTGGTGTTTAAATCAATAAATTGTTGATTAGTTTATGACAACAAAATGAGTCAATACTTATTGAGTGATGTATTAAGTGCTGAAGAGTTGAGTGAACTGTCGGTTCACATGAAGACCAAATTGGAGACACATTTGATGGCAAACCAGAAGACTATTCACGACATGAAGACTGAGTCCACGGATACTATATCATCGATAGTCGACCCGAAGACTATTCAGTCGCACAATGAATCCCTGTGTTTGTCTCAAAGTGTGTCTCAAATCTATTGCAACGACTCTTTGGACAGATTTGGCGACGATTTGTGCGAAGTATTAGTGAGTTATCTGTCACTCGAAGAGCGCTTCCGATTTGAATGTCTGTCCAAACGGTACCAGAGATTGCTATTCACTGCACAGAGTATGCACTCAATTGAACTTAAAACAGAAATGGTACTGAAGTTCAAGGATTTGTCTAAATTTAAGATATTTGTGAAGAAATGTCGAAACGTGTCAAACATTGTTAATAATGATCACCCGATAAGAGGAGCTGAAGACATTTTGTTCGTTGAAGTATTCAGACTATTAGTAAAGCACTGCAAACGTGTCCATCAATTAACATACGGAGAAACGCCTAAAAGTTCGACAATATTTGCATATTTTGGCCACAAGTTCGCCAAATATATGCATACACTTCATATAAATGGATATTTTCATAATTATACCGAAGAAATGATTGAAATGTTCAAAATGTGTGATAATGTACGCCAACTGTCTATTATGAGCGCTAGTCTCGAAAATCAATCCCTATTTTGGCGTTTATTTTGTGACGACAATCACTATTACTTCAGAAATCTTCGTGCTTTCCGTTTAAGTGTTTGGCGTACAGATGATAATAGTATTGAGTATTTCAACACATTTGTGGCTAAATATAAACATAGTTTGCGATCAATGAATTTATCTTGTCTTGCTGATGAAATAACACCGGGTCTATTGATTCAACTACTGAATGGTTTATCACAATTGCACAATTTGTTTGAATTGAAACTGGGTATCAGAATATCCATCTTGCAGAAATCCAATGCCAACTTTTTCAATAGTTTTCGAAAAATCGGCACTAATTGTACTCAACTCAAGACATTGGCTTTTAACACGAATTGCATGCATTTATTGGATATAATGAACACAAACTTCAAACAAATAAAGCGATTGAGAATTACCGGCATTTTTGGTAGGGAACTGCATATGAATTTATTGAGTGAATCCCTAAATCGTTGCAAACATTTAACTCATTTAACAATCAATTTAATTAATAACATAATCAGTGATGACTTCTTCAATGATATCAACAAACATTTACCACGACTTCAATACCTGTGTATATCTAAGGCAGAGATAACCGACTCGTCATTTCATTCTTTGGCAAAACTAACAAAACTTCAATCCATTGAATTTAAAGTGCTAATATGTAACCTTGATGATTATGGTAAACTTCGAAATAAATTAACCCGTGTTAAGATTATACGTGTGTGTAAACTTAATAATATGAGTATTAAGGTTTAGATTTACCGCATTAATTTAATTGTATCAATGCATTTAGCCCTTGAATTGTACTTTGAAAGTATGCCATCACTTGAATAAACTATACTAGTTTTATAAACCCATGAAAACCATTGCTTTATTTATAATCATTTACCGCTATTTAGAATCGAGTTTCAGTCGAAAGCCATTTATTATAAATAAATTACTAAACAATCGATAATATAATTAAAACTTGAATTTATTGAATGGGTTTGCAGTGAAAGTTGGGGTCAATTCTTAGCGCTGGTCTCCTGCTGTTCAAAGAGTGGGTAACTGTTCTTAACGTCACTCCAACTCCTCTTGCCTTTCGTCAAATCGCTTACAATAAGCGCCAACTCTTCCAACTGTCAGATCACACATCATATCAATCATTAACACAACACCTCTTAATCACAACACATTAGACACATACCGGTGCTCTGATCTGTTCCATGGAATCCCTTTCCCTAAGTGTGGCCGTGAAGGGGGCGCTAAGGCTATCGAAGTCTATGGTAATACCGAACGGAATGGCGATCTCAT